GGAGTCATGCGAAACCGGCAGTCTGTAGAACTCTGCTTCACGGCAGAAATGTCAAAGGTAGTCCTGTCCGAACAACAACGCATGATACCTTATGCCGACCGCGTGGCCACTATGCGAGTATATGTTACCGCCGCTGCAAAGCGAGCTATGGTCGTCAAGGAATCAAGGAAGACGACGTCCTCGCGAAGGCTGGCATCCAGGCGAATCCCGAGAAAGTATCGAAGGCCCTCTACACTAAATTCAAAACATGGTCTGACAGTAAGTGTTCCAAAACGCAAAACATATCTATAGCGTCAGACATCATGACTTCGAGGTTTTTGCACAAATGGAAGTTTGTGAGGAACGAAAAGGGCGAGATGGAACGTGAAATCTGATTGCGCCTGGTACTCCGAGGCTTCATGGACTTTGAATCCCTCGACGTAGAAGCCTTTTCGGGAACGGCGCGGCGGTCAAGCCAGAGACTACTCGCTAGCGCGGCAGCGTGCAAGAAGCAATCATTGCTTCTTTCGACATCAACGTGGCTTTCCTGATAGGGTTGACCTATCAGGAACTTGCTGAGGGAACTTGTGAAAAGGAACGCGTGGCGTGCTTTACTTTGCCGCCTGGATCGGCCACGGTGCTTCGGACTCTCCCAGGATTCGAATACTACGACGAGTCAAGGCATTGCTGGCAGTGCTTGAAGCCAGGCGCTGGTGCCAAATATGCACCGCGAACATTCCCATTAAAGCTCAGATGGGCCGCGCGAGGTGCTGGTGTCCGACCCACGTCCTACGACGAGGAGTTCGAGACGAGCAGCAACCTGCTTACGGCCAAACATGTTGATAATATCAATATGGCCGTCACTGAGGACGCCGTTGGCAAGTGTGCCAAGTGTGTAGAAGACACCTTTGGTACGCGTAAACTCAACAATCACACATGCACCACATGTGTTGTGATATATACCAAGGATGAGGACGGCAATGCCACTCTTGGCCAAGACGAATACATCAAGCAGCTCCGTGGTATACACCGTCCTGAACTCACTGGCGCCGACGCTGACGCTCAGGCATTCAATCTGGTTGCAGACATGTTCGTCAGCCTCAGGGGTGCGCTGGCGTACGTATTAATCGCCCAGGTGTGGTTGGTGGTGCATGTTGCATCGCTGCAACGCGTCCATGAACCGACCAATATTCAAGTGCGACGACTGGGCGCGATTACCAGGAAGCTGCAGGCCTGCCCCAATAAGATCGTCTATCAGGCGATGACCCCTACGGGCGACGGTGACCTGCACAGCGGCTCAGGATACCGACGCCTGAGTGGAGACGCCGATGACGACGTCAAATGCTATGGTATTCGCGGGGCAAGCCTGCTACGGCGTGGAAGCTCGCCATCGGGTGAGCCTGTCGTCAACTTGTTCGATGCGCGCTGCATGTCTCACCGCTTGCAGGTCCGCTCGTGTTATTCCGCGGAGACACTAGCAGCAGCCCATAACTTAGAGGACTGTTATCCTACGACTGTGACTCTGCGCGAGCTCCGCGCAGGGCCGCTCGCGCCAACTCAGTTGAAAGACATGCTTGAGATGGGTGGCCTGAGCATCGAGGTCACTTTGACCATAGATGCGGAGTCTGTTTTTAAGTCCTTGTCACGCAAGGACTTGCAGAAGCCGACTGAGTGTACACTTCTAGGACGCACCAGTTGAATACGACAGGTGACGGAGCGTGGCATCGTGCACGTTATTCAGTGGTGCGACACCCGCGATATGACAGTGGACGGTCAAACCGAGGGGAGTATCGATAGAGAGATGCTCCCCCAGGTCATGGGACGTATTCAGGCCTTCAAACATGACCTAAAGACTCATGCCCCCTATCGGGCTGGCCAGACATCAGGTTCTGCAGCCGCCTCCTGAGGAGTATCTTCAAGTACCAGGACGGTGCAGGCAAGGCAACTTGCGTGCGAGTCTACCTTCCTTATGGCCGCCCTTTTTGTTGCCCTTTGTGTATATGAGCTGCTGCGCCTGCTTCATAGGGGCGGCGGACCCACGCTTCGTCTCCCTCCCCCCCGATCCTAAAGCGAACTGAGGGACATAAGGAGCGGAAGCGAGCGTGCGCCCGCGGCCGCGTCGGCTCAAGCGGCCGGCCGCCCAGATATGACTGCGCCTCATTGTGAGGCATACGATTGGCCATTGACACACAAATAAGCTTCTTACTGCTTAAGATGGTATGCCCTCTACTACTGGGACTATAGTTACTACGGTACAACAGAGCCGGGGTCGTGCTTCGCCTAAGGCGAAGCTGCTGGTTGGGCCTCCCAGCCCCTTTCAAATTGTTCGAGCCAGCGTGTTTACAGTTCTTGACAAGACACAAAATCCCACCCCGAGCGCACCCCCCGTGGCGTCGAGGAGATGCCACGCCTGCCACGCCCTGCGAGCCTGCAGCGCATAGGGCCCCCACCCCCAGCGCAGCCCCTGCGGCGTCGAGGAAATGCCACGCTTGCCACGCCCTGCGAGCCTGCAGCGCATAGGGCCCCCACCCCCAGTGTACCGCCTGTGGCGTCGAGGACCCGCACGCTTGCCACGTCCTGCTGCTTTGCAGCGCATATGGCCCCCCCCCCCCCCAGCGCACCCCCTTGTGGCGTCGAGGGAATGCCGTGCCTGCCACGCCCTGCGAGCCTGCAACGCATAGGGCCCCCACCCCCAGCGCACCGCCTGTGGCGTCAAGGGACTGCCACGCCTGCCACGCCCTGCGAGCCTGCAACGCATGGACACTGGTGGGGGCACTAGTGGGGACAGCGGCGACAATGGTGGGAACAGTGGGGACACTGGGCCAGTGGTGGGGACAGCGGGACAATGGTGTGGACGGCGGTGGTGGGGACATTGGTGTGAGGACAATGGGACAGTGGTGGGGGCAGTGGGGACAGTGTGACAGTGATGGGGACTGTGGTGGTGGGGACAGTGGTGAGGGCGGTGGCGAGGACGGTGGTAGGACAATGGGACAGGGGTACAGTGGGGACAGCGGCGGGGACAGCGGCGGGGACAGCGGCGGGGACAGTGGGGACAGTGGTGGGAACAGTGGGGCAGCTCAGTGGGACAGCGGCGGGGACAGTGGGACAGTGGGGACAGTGGGACAGTGGTGGGGACCGTGGGGAAAGTGGGGCGAGTGGGACCGTGGTGGGAACAGTGGCGGGGGCAGTGGGGGCAGTGCGACACTGGTGGGGGCACTGGTGGGGACAGTAGGGACGGTGGTGGGAAAAGACGGTGGTGCTGGGGACAGCGGTGGGAGATGTGGTGCGGACGGTGGTGCGGACCCGGGAGTCGTTTGCCGGCCGTGAGGGGGGGGAGGGTTCGAACCAGTAGTGATCTCCCCCAGTTTTCTGAAAGGGGTGGGGGGGTGGGGCTCGAACCGGTAGTGACTCCCTCAGTTTTCCGGAGGTGGTGGGGGGAGGGGGAGGGGTTAGGGGGGGTTTGCCAGGGGAAGGGGGGGTAGGGGGGTTCCAGCAGGGAGGGGGATTTTCGAAAGGGGGGAATTTCCCACAGTAAAGCGGCGGTGGATCACGCTATCATCATCATCATCATCATCATCATCATCATCATCATCATCATCATCATCATCATCATCATCATCATCATCATCATCATCATCATCACAATTATCAACACCAACATCAGCATCATCGCCATCATCACCATAATCAGCATCGCCACCATCATCATTGTCATCGTCATCGTCGTCGCCGTCGTTTCCGTCTTCGTCGTCGGTCTCGTTTTTTTGTTCCTCTTTTCCTCCCCTCTGCTTGGGCGTTTGTCTGCATCGGCCTCCCCTGCCACTGGCCTTGAGCATCAGCCACAGAGCCACAGCTGCCGTTGCCAGCCGCCCAGTCGATCAATCCGTCGATCCAACCCTCGGCCCCCCGCAGATCCTCCCGCGCTCGCCGCGCCGCGCCGCGTCGGCGGTGTCGGTCCAATCGATCCTCCTTCCTGTTGTAGGAGGAGGCGGAGGAGGAGGCGGAGGAGGAGGAGGAGGAGGAGGAGGAGGATCGATTGGACCATTTGTGGGAATCCAAGCAGTCCGCTTCCTCCCCCTCGGAGGGGGTGGGAGGGTATGGGGAGGCGGATCGATCCTCCCCCTCCCTCCCTCTCGGCGGAGCGCCCAGGGTTTCTTAGAAACCCCCGCGCTTTCTGAAAGGTCTGTGCCTTCGGAGAAGGCTCAGAGCACTTCTCAGAAGGCCCGAGGCCTTCCGAACCCTCTGGAAAGGCCCGCCCTTTCGCACTTCCCCAGGCTCACCGCCGACCCTCCCCCTCCCCTCCCGTCCCTCCCTCTCCGCTCCCCCTCCCTTCTTTCACCCTCTCTCATAGTAGAGTATGGCTGTCCATTATCTATGTTCTTTCAGGCTGACGGTGAGCCTCGGTCCAGATCCAGTTCCAGACCTCCCCCTCCCCCGACCCTCCCCCCCCTCCCCTTCCCTTGACCACGACGCTGCAACAGTGTGCTACCAGACGGTGTCAAGCTTCGTAGTATCCAGTAACAGTCAGGACATCGTCTTGACAGATCCCAAAGTGCACAGACCGCCTGGATCGACCTTCATCAGGCCCGATCGCCTGCTCGCCTAGGGGTCTCTCCCGGGCAGCCAGGCGCGGGGGATGCCCCAAGGTGGCGCTTTCTTTGCCGCGGGCACTGGATCATTCATGCCAGAGCGTATGTGCAGCTGATGCATCCTGCTCACGGGCGTGCAGAAGGGGCGAGTCTCGCCTTTACCGTTTTCCAGTCGTGGTCTTCACTGGTCGCGCCAGGGGGGAGGGTCATCTCCCCACCGTTGCTTATCACCGCGGCATCTCCCGCCTTTCGAGGTAGGCCTGGCGGGGGTGGCCTGCACAGACCCTCTGTCCGAACTGGTGCGTCCTCCCTCCCTCTCTGTTCCCCCTCCCTTCTCTCGGCCATCGTCGTCCGCCGACGCGCCCCTCAGCCGCCAGCCGCCCCGGATCTTGACCCTCGCCGCCGCCCGCCCGGCCTGCCTCGGTCGCGCGCATGGCTACCAGAGGCCGGGGAACAGGGCGCGGGAGATGGAAGCGGGAGCGGGGGAGGAAAAAGGAAGGGAAGGGGAGGCGGAGGAAGAGGAGGATGAGGAGGAGGACCAGGGTCAACCCAAGACGCGTCAACGATGTAGGAATGAACCCTCCCCCCAGCTCCCTTTTTTGACAGGTTTCTACAAAGGGTTCACTTCCACTGAGGAACTGCCTCGTTAGGAGGCAAATGTTTGTAGATTCTGAAGCGCTCCAAACGAGTCAACCTGACTGTTGCGTCTCTACGATCTAGGATCGTGCCAGAGCATCATCCCTGGAACCCCACGCCGCGAATCAACGTAACTGGTTGCGCCCTGACAATCCTGAGCCCTTCCAGAGCATTATTCTATAGGCTTACGCCACATCCGCCGACCCCTATATAAACTATTGCGCTTCCAGGGCTGTATTTCACGAGGCTTGTCCGAATCATGACACAGCGCTTGACATCGTTCCTGGTGCTCCGTTGCTGTTATCGTATCTCTTGGTGCTCTTTTGTTGCCTTTTGGTGGCATCTTGGCTTGTCTCCAGGCCATATCCGGCCGCCTCGAAGGATCTTAGGCAGAGTTTTGCAGCCTCTTGGGGGCTTCCCGTGGGCTTCTTGGAGGCCTTTGAGGTTCTCTTGGGGGTCCCTCAGGGCATCTTGGGGTGTTCTTGGGGCAGGCTGGGGGGGTCTTGGGGCCGAAGGCTCGAAAAGGTGCCCTTTGGACTCCCTCTGAGAGCCGTCTGGGGACCCTCTGGGGCTGTGTTGGGGGCTTCGTGTTTTTTTTTGACCCTCTTCGACCCCTCTTGGGGGCCCCTTCGGCCGTCCAGGGGCGATATTGAAGGTTTATTCATCGCTTCGCTCATTCCGCCGGCCCATATTGTCGCACCGTTGTGGGCTAGCCGAGTTTGGGGGCCTCTTGGGGGCCGTTTTGGGGCCTCTTGGGGCCTCTTTTGGGCCTCTTGGGCGCCTCTTGGGGCGTCTTGGGGGCCTCTTGGGGGCCTCTTGGGGCCTTTTTGGGGCCTCCTGGGCGCCTTCTGGGGCGGAGGGCTCGATTTTTCAGTTCTCGGTTCCCCTCTTGAGCCCCTCTTGGGCCCGTCTTGGGGCCTCTTGGTCCGTCTTGGGCGGCACTTGGGCCGTCTTGGGGGCCCTCCTGGGCCGTTCCGGGGCCGTCTTGGGAGCCTCGTGGGCCGTCTTGGAGCGGTCTTGGGGGCCTCTTGGGCCGTCTTGGAGCGTCCGGAAGCCGAAAAAGCCAGAACGCAAAAAACATAGAAAAAAACAATGAAAATCAACGATTTTGGCCTCTTGGGGCCCTCTTCGGAGGCCTCTTGGAAGGCCCTTGGGGCGTCTTGGAGGCCTCTTGGGCTGTCTTGGGGCCCTGTTGGGCGTCTTCGGGCGATCTTTGGCCGTCTCGGGGCCCTCTTGGACCGTCTTGGAGGCTTCTTGGGGACCTCTTGGCCCGTCCTGGGGCCCTATAACAGAACTCCGGCATCTCTGGCCCGACCTTGCCGGGACCTTGCCGGGGACTTGCCGGGACCTTGCCGGGGACTTGCCGGGACCTTGCCGGGGTACTTTTCGTCACGTCCGGGGACCCCCAGGGGCCGCCCCGCGCGCGCGAACTAGAAATACTGTTAACCAGGTACCGGAGATCTTAGCACGCCCTGGCCCGTTGGGCCGGCGAATTCGCCCGTTTTCGACGTTGTGAAAGCCGAAAAGGCGAGCATGCGAAAAATGCTGTTTTCCCCAAGGGGTTTGGACGATTTTTGTTTCTTGGGGCCTTTTTTGGACGCATCTTGGTGGCCTTTTGGGGCGTCTTGGCAGCTTCGGAGGCCGTCTGGAGGCCATCGTGGGCGTCAAGGAACGATATTTCGGCGACTCGTGGCCTCCGCTCCCCCGTGGCGCGTTCGGTCCAAGGTCGCGCCGGGCCAGGGGGGCCCTTCCAGAACATTGTTTCTGGTACGGTGGCCATGGGAATCCGTGAAAGTCTTGCAAACATTGGCAGCGAATGTGCGCGGCGCTAATTACGGCGGGAGCCACATTTTGAGAACGACCCGCCCTCAATTCGTGAAACTTGTGCAAATGTTGAAAACGAATGTGCGCGGCGCTGAGGCGAGAGCCACATTTTGATAACCACCCGCCCTCAATCCGTGAACCTCAGACAAACATGTTTTAAAAGAATGTGCGCGGCACTACAGCGAGAGCCAGACTTTGAAAACCACCCGCCCTCAACCCGCTTGCAAATGTTTAAAACGAATGTGCGCGGCGCTAAGGCGAGAGCCAGGCTTTGAAACAATGCCGCCCTAAATCCGTGTAGTTTGTCCGATTGTTTAAAACGAGTGTCTGCGGTGCTAAGGCGAGAACCACATTTTGGAAACCACTCACCCTAAATCCAGTGTGGATAGTGTTGGAACATAATGCAGGGATAATAGATATCCAGGCAAACAGCTGGTTATCAGCCGAAACGACGGCTCAGCCGTTGGCTTCGCTGAGCATGGGATCGCAGGAAGCAGCGCTCGGGGAAGTAGAACGACAATACCGTCCCGAGCGTATTACCAAGAAAGGCGCACAAATGCTGCTACCGCGTCCCCAATCCAGATGTCACAGTCGAGGTTATCTTTCCATGGCGCCCCGCCTGTCACAAATTCGGGGGCCCTGTCGCTGGCTGCGTTTCCGAGCTATCGCCCTGGACTCGGTCGCTCGGTCGGGCCCCATCGTCTTCATGCTTCTCGGAGTTGTCCTCCTGCTCCTCCTCCGCCCGCCTTCTCGGGTACTGCACGTTGCCTGGGGCTTGCACGTCGTGGCGCACCCCCCCTGAGTCTTCTGAAGCGGTGCCTGGGGCCTCTGAGGTTTCGCTTTCGGCCCTGGTTGAGGGCAGCGACTTCTGGCTCGCGGGGGCGTGCGCTCGACGAAGGTAGAAGATTTGTCCCCCAAGCGCGTGCGAAATCCGCAGCGCGACGGAGGAAGGGCGCAGGCCGTGTGGACCTTGTGTAGTTGTCTTGCTGTGAGGGCTTCGTATGTTGGGTGGTGTGCCATCAGACGCCCAGTGGAGTGCGCCTCCTAGGAACCGTCTCCAGGCGTGTGCGCCCCCCCCGCCAACAGGGCCCCCCCGCAGTGGGAAGTCGTTTTCATTAGCCAGTTAGATCCAACTCTTTGTTTTTCGTTGCTCAGGGAAACTTTTGGTCAGATAGTTGTTTGCTTTGCTTGCTCCTCCTCCTCCTCCTCCTCCTGTTCCTGTTCCTCCTCCTCCTCCTCCTCCTCCTCCTCCTCGTCCTCCTCCTCTTCCTCTTCCTCCTCCATCTTGTATCCCTCCTCTCCTGCAGGCCCCCAGAGGGCCCCAGAGGCCTCCAGAGGCCCTCAGATGTCCCCAGAGGGCCGACAGCGTCCACAAGCTCCGTTCCCCCCCCCTCCGCCCAGCCGCTCCTCCGGCCATCCCCCCCCGACCGCGGCAGGGCGCTCGCGCGTGCCCGCGCGCTGCCTGGCAGCTGGTGCCCGCCGCCGCCTCCCCGCCCGGGGCGGGGGCCCAGAGGCATGGCGAAAGGGTGGGGGGGGTGGGGGAGGGGCGGGGCAGGGCGAGGGCTTATGGAGGGTCGGCGGTGGGGCCGGGTATAGCGGTGGGGTGAGGGAGGGAGCGGCAGGAACGGGAGGGGGGGGCGGGTCTGCCCTGTGCGGAGGCCAAGCGAGAGCCGTGGCAGTGCGGAAGGGCGGGGGTGGGGCGCGTGCGCCATGGCAGGGCGAGGGCGTGGGGAGTGTCGGCGGTGGGTGCGAGGAGGAAGGTGAGGGAGTGGGGGCGGGAGACCGAGGAGCGGGGATGTCCGATGTTGTGCCGCACCCGAGGGGCGGGGATTGTTAGATTTTGAGAAGGAGCCCGCCAGCTATCCCTCTATACTGCGTCCGCCAAGGCCCAGAAGTCCCGATGGTCCCCGAGTCTCCCCCCTCCCTATCCCATGAATATAGGAAGCGGAGCCTGCGCCGATTCCTGCGCCCGCGCCCGTGCCTACGCACGCGCTAGCGCTTGGGCTAGGGACTGCTCCAATTCGCTCTGCCAGTCGAGTTAACGAACGTCAGTCGTCAGGAAAATTGAGAACGCGGATGTTCAGGTCGTCTGAGGAGAAGACTTGAGACACCTCTCCGCGGGGGGGTCCATGAGAAGCAATCCAAATTCCGGGGCCCCACGAGGAGGTATCCCAATTTGAAGGCACTCGAAGCAGGTATCACATTTGGGAGCTTCCTCCGCCTGGCAGTTTCTTAAGCGAGGCTCCAAGGGCCCCAGGGATCGACTCCACGTGTGTAGCAGCGGTGAGAGGCATTTCGGGCCGTTTGGCGCATCATTGGAGGCTCTCCAATCAGGGCCACGCGCAAGACGACGAAGGAATCACAGCCCGCGCGTCGCTTCGAAGTGAGTGGGATTGCTATCTCGCCCGCTCCGTCGTTCGACCTGCGCTTCGCTGAACGCTCCGACCAAAGGTCGCTCGCTCTTCACGTTGATATCAGCCGCAGTGGCGGAGGCGGAGGAGGAGCAGGAGGAGGAGGAGGAGGAGGAGGAGGAGGAGGAAGAACAGGAGGATGAGGAGGGGGATCAGGAGGAGGAGGAGAGGAGGAGGAGGGAGGAGGAGGAGGAGGAGGAGCAGGAGGAGGAGGAGGAGAAAGGACTGAGAGAGGGAGTGTGGGGGGTGGGGGCAGAGGGGGGTGCGGAGGGGGGGAGGAGGGGGGGGGAGGGGCGGAGGTGGAGGAGGAGAGAAGGAGGCAGGCGGAAGCAATGGCTTGGGAGGGTGATATATATATATATATATATATATAGAGAGAGAAACAAAACAGAGAGAGAGAGAGAGAAAGATATAGAGAGGGAGATAAAGAAAGAGAGAGAGGGGGAGAGAGAGAGAGAGAGAGAGAGAGAGAGAGAGAAAGAAAGAGAGAGAGAGAGAGAGAAACAAAAAAAGAGCGACAGAGAGAAAGAGAGAAAGAGAGAACGAGAGAAAGAGGATAGGAAAGGAGGGAGTAGGAGGAAGAGCGAGGGAAAGAGAGGGAGACCGGGGACAATGTCGTGGATCAAGCAGACCAGGCGCCAGGAGTGTCTGTTCCCCCAAGAGGAGGGGGACCAGTACATCCTGGACAAGCACTTCCTGGACTGCTACGGGCGCCATGTTTGCGCCAGCGGCGTGGCCACAAGGCGCATTTTTGACGTGGTGATTGCCGTTCCCGCCTCCTCCCTCTTCGACTCGCTTCCTCTACCGCGCCGCGTGCGTAGACGACGGGGGGGATGGGTGAGGGGGGCCAATGGGCGGGCGGGGGCCTCGGGGGGGGCGCGCGCGTCGAGGGGCGGAACTTCGGGGCTTGGCGCTGGGGCGTCGACGATCAGACTGGTGGGGGGCAGGTGGGCGGTGCACCCGTTGGTAAGCGTGACGATCCAGTATTGGTCGGCGTCGCCGGAGCGGCCTCGGACGACGTCGCGGAGACCGTTGATTGGGTTTTGGTCATGGCCTTGGACAGTGACCTCCGTGCCGACTTGACTACCGAGGTCAGGGTCGGTAGGGGTCGAAAGGACAGGGTCGCCCAGGAACTCCTTAGGGCTTTGCGTGGCGTGTCTTGGTGCGCGTGCTTCGCGCCCGTAGCGGGGGACGGGGCCCAGGTGGCCAGGCGGCGGTTTGCGGCGCGGACGTGGGCGACGACGGCGGGGTCGTGGTCCAGGTAGCGCGCGCAGTGAGTACGTGGATCGTGGTCGGTGAGGCATCGGTGGGGGTGGTGCTCATTGAACCCGATCCATGACCTGCGGGCGCGCGGCGGGTGGGCGAGTGTGTGTGTGTATGTGTATGTGTGTGTGTGTGTGTGTGTGTTGCTCGCCCTGGATTGCGTCCGCAGGGCCTGTAGTGGCGGGCGAGGTCGCGTCATTGAAGAAGAGCGTGGCGAAGTGCAGGAACACCGCGTGCAGTGCGAGCACGGCCCGTTTGTGGAGGGCAAGGCCCGCCGTACTTCTGATGCCGAGGGCGCTCCCGATGAACAGGGGGTTGCCGCCGACGAACACGAGGGTCCAGCTGGCCACCGAAGTGGCGCGGCGGCCAAGGGGAAACCCTGGGACCCGAGAGACGAGGCCCGGGACCCAGAAGACCGCGGAGAGCGAGGCCGCGCCGACGGAGCAGAGCAGGCTGCCGAGGATCACGGGGATCGTGGCGAAGCGCGCGGGTCGCTTGCCGATGCCATCGTGAATGTCGAGGGCGGCCTTGTTGAAGAGCGGCGGGGCGCGGAATATCAAGTGCAACGGGTTGTTGCTGTTGATCTTGGGGGCCCGGCTGGCCGCTGCAGCGGCGCGGCGGCCTCATGGATGCACAAGGGCGCGCAGCTCGTGCAGTTCATCCCGAAGACGTTGTACGTCGTTTCGGAAACATTGAAGGCACCCCAAGGCCTGTGACGGGTTTGAGGTGGAGCAGGAAGGGCATGCTCATCCAGGATGGGAACGCGGAAGACGTAATCATCAGGATGAACAAAGCGTTTGCTGCTCAGAACGCCGCTGTCGCGGACGTGGCCGTACTGCATGAAAGCCAGTTTCCACCCGGAGTCTTGCCCGCCTCGCAACTGAGGAAGTGGGCCGTGGCGAGGTCACCACGCGCGATGCGAACGCAAGGGCGGAGACGCAGAGCATTGCGGCGGAGGGTAGCGGGGAGGAAAATTGAGGCAAATTGGTGCCAGGATGAAGACCCCAGTCGCAGTCTCACTGGGCCGGGGTGCGCGGAAGGTTTCGCGCCCTGGCGTCCGGAGAGGGAGAGAGAGAGAGGGAGAGAGAGAGAGAGAGAGAGAGAGAGAGAGAGAAACAAAAAAAAAAGAGAGAAAGAGAGAGATAGAGAGAGAGAGAGAGAGAGAGAGAGAGAGAGAGAGAGAGAGAGAGAGAGAGAGAGAAAGAAAAAGAGAGAGAGATAAACAAACAAACAAACAAGAGAGAGAGAGAGAGAGAGAAAACAAGTTTGGCTCTGGCTCGCACCGCTGGGGGCCCCGCCTCTCGCTGCGCGCCCTGCCGTTGCGCGTGGCGACGACTCGCCGCGCCGCCCTCGAGGCCGCGTGCGGCGCGCTCGTAGCGGCCCACGCTGCTGCGGGCCTCAGTGCAAGCGAGTGCCGAGAGGCCTCCCGCCTCCTGAGAGCGGCGGGCTGGTCAGGGCTGCCGTGGCGGTCCTCGGCGCAGCCCCCGATGTTGATGATGGGCGTGGCGGCGGAGGTCACGCGGCCCCGCCTGCTGCCCCCGCGGCGCCTGCCTCCTCGCCGCCCAAGGGGAAGAGGCGGCGCGCTCGGCGCCGCCGAGCCCGCGGAGCGCAGGTGGAGGGTGCGGGGGCTGACCCTGGCCACGCCCCCTGGCGGCAAGCTGAAAGCGACGGGTGCGATGGGCGAGGGCTGCCTCGAGGACGACAGCTGGGCTACCAGGCGCGCGGGGGCTCCGCTCCCAGCGCCGCGCCCTCGACGGCGGCGTTCGCGGCCGCGCCCCCTGCTGCTGCTGCTGGCGCGGAGGGGGGGCAGCCCAGTGCGCAGCGCCATGGCTGGAGCCGCTCGCGGGGCCCGCGCTCCACGGGGCGCGCGCGGCTTGGGCCGAGCGGCTGGGGGTGGCCGCCGCGGAGGTGGGCTTCACGGAGCTCGCCGCGCGGTTGGAGGCCCCTCCCGCCCCCGCCGCGGACCGCGGCGAGCTGGGGCGCTTCCTGGATGGGGCGCAGCAGCTGATCGACCAGACGGGCGCGCGGCCCCGCGGGCGCACCGCCAAGTCGGCGCCGCGCCCCCGAGGGGGGGGTGGGGGAGTCGGCGTGAGGCGAGGGCTCTAGGGGGCAGGCCGCTCGGCGGCAGGCGGGGCGCGGGGCGCGGCTGGCTGCGGCCGGCGTGCCACCTCCTCGCTGAGGGCTACGGCGGCTTGCTGCGTTCGGCCTCTTCACGGCCGGGGGGCTTCCCCTGCGGGGCGGCCCCCCGCGGTTGCGCGGGCCGCCGACGAGAGGTCGGCGTGCCCCCGCGGACGAAGGGTGTGCGTCAGCGGCCGAGCCTCGACTCGCTCGCTGGCGCGCCGAGGGTGGCGCGCGGGAGAGAGAGAGAGAGAGAGAGAGAGAGAGAGAGAGAGAGAGAGAGGGGGAGAGAGAGAGAGAGAGAGAGAGAGAGAGAGAGAGAGGAGAGAGAGAGAGAGAAGAGGAGGGAGATAATATGAGGAGAGTGAGAGAAGAGAGAGAGAGAGAGAGGAGAGAGAGAGAGAGAGAGAGAGAGAGAGAGAGAGAGAGAGAGAGGAGAGAGAGAGAGAGGAGAGAGAGAGAGAGAGAGAAGAGAGAGAGGAGAGAGAGAGAGAGAGAGAGAGAGAGAGAGAGAGAGAGAGAGAGAGAGGAGAGAGGAGAGAGAGAGAGAGAGAGAGAGAGAGAGAGAGAGAGAGAGAGAGAGAGAGAGAGAGAGAGAGAGAGAGAGAGAGAGAGAGAGAGAGAGAGAGAGAGAGGAGAGAGAGAGAGAGAGAGAGAGAGAGAGAGAGAGAGAGAGAGAG